GTGGCTCTCCGCAATGTTGCAAAACTGCGACCTTTGAACTAGGTCATCTTCAGGAAGAGGGCATTTTCGGGGATTGAACTCATTTGCAGGTCTTCCTGATCTCTCGACTTCCAATAAAATTATTAAAAAAAAATAATTAATAATATAATTAAATTAAATAAAAATAAATAAAAATAATAATATAAAAAATAAAAAAAATTAAAATAAAATATATAAAATATAAATAATAAAAAAAAAAAAAAAAAAAAAAATTTAAATTATAAAAAAAATTAAAAAAAAATAAAATATAATAAAATTAAATTAAAAATTATTAACAATATAAAAAAATTATAAAAAAAATTATTATTAAAAAATATAATTATTAAAATATTAAAAATAATAAAAAATAATAATAAATATATATTATAATAAAAAAATATAAATATTATATTATTTTTAAATAAAAAAAAAAAATAATTAAAATAATATTTTAAATATATAAATATATTAAAATAAAAATATAAAAAAAAAAAAAAAAAAAAAAAAAAAAAAAAATAAAAAAAAATTCTATTAAAAAATAATTATATAAAAAAACCATTAATATATAAAAATTAAAAAATAATAAAATATTAAATAAAAAAATATAAATAAAAATTATATAAAAAATTTATACACAACACAAAATAAATATTATTTATTTAAAAAAAATATAAAAAAAAAAAATAAAAAAATAAATATAAAAAAATAATATATAAATAAATAAAAATAAAAAATAAAAAAAAAAAATAAAAAAATATAAAAAAAAAAAAAACACAAATTATAAATAAATATAATAAATAAACACACAATAACTTTTAAAAAAAAATACAAATATAAAAAAAAAAATAAAATAAATATAATAAAAATAAAAATAACAAATATTATATTATAATAAAACAAATAAAAAAATAAATAATTATATAAATAAAAAAAAAAATAAAAAAAAAAAAAAATACAAAAATATACACAATTAAATAATATAAAAATAAAAAAAAAAAAAAAAAAAACAAAACAAAAATAAATAAATAAAAAAAAAAAATAATATAAATAAAAAACAAACAAATAAAAAAAAAATATATAAAAAAATAACAAAATATATAAAAAAAAATACAATATAAAAAAAATAAATATAAACAAAACAAAATATTATTTTTAAATAAAATAAAAAAATATAAATATAAAAAATAAATAACCAAAAAAAAAAAATAAATAAAATATATATAAAAATAAATAAAAATTACAAAACTCATAAATATAAATATAAAAAAATAATATATAATATAATAATAAAAAATAAACAAATTTTATTAAAAATAATATTAATAAAATTTAAAAATATATAATTATAAATTGTATAAACCCTTGATATTTTTCCAAATAAAAAAAATGTAAAAAAAAAAAAACGTATTGCATTAACAATATTTTTATACACATTTTATTCCCTTTGTTGTATTGGGAAAAATAAAAAAAGGAAAGAAAGCAAAATTTTTATATAAAAATACAAAAACCTAAAAAAAAAATAATGGACAAAAATTGGCAAAAAAAAAAAAATTTTATAAATAAAATGTTTAATTAAGCAAAATTATAACTCCTGTAAAAAAAAAAATAATTAAAAATAAAAATATAAAAAAATCACACCTGAAAGCAAAATAAAAATAAAAAAAAATACTTAAACATTTATGTGTCTAATGTGCCATAAAAAAATAAAAAAATTAAAAAAGGAACGAATAAACTATCTGAAAACCTGAAAAAAAATAAAAATTTGGCAAAATAACAATAAATAAAAAATAAAATTTACAAGTCCATCTCCAACTAAAACTAATTTGCCTTTGTTTTATTTTGTGCGCCAACATTAAAAAAGAAGTTTTATTTTTTTTAAATGGCAATAATTAGCTAATCTCCCTTCGTGGACGGATAAAAAAAATTATGAAAGATTTAAAAAAAAATAAAAAAATGGTAAAAAAAAAAAATATTAAACAAAATTTTTTTTTTTAATTTCCTGCAATAAAATTTATTTCAGTTCAGCGCGAACTATCCGTCGACATTTTTTTAATTTTTTATTAAACGCTATTTTAAAGACCCAGGAGGACCCCACTGCTTAAAACAGAAACATAAATTTAAAGCAAGAATACAATTTGCCAAAATTAAAATGAAAAAGCCAAAAATTTTTAATATTAAAAAACGTTAAAATGTGGAAAAGATTTAAATAAAATAAAGCTTTAAATTTTAAATTATTTATAAAAAAATATTTTTTCTACAAAAAAAAAATTTAATTTAAACGGAAACTATTTACAAAAAAAAAACAATATATAAAAAAAATTAAAAAATTAAATTTTTTGCTGCCTCTGGCACTGGGTTTTTTTTAGGCATCATAAATTTTTAAAAATAATAAAATTTTTTTCGCACTGTAGGGCCCATAAACAAAAACTAAAAATTTAAGATCCTTTTTAAAAAAACAAAATACCCCAAACAATACGTAAAAAATAATTTTTTTCATTTAAAATTAAAATAAAAAAAAACATAAGCGCAATAAAATTAAAAAAATTTAAAAATAAAAAAAATAGCCCAGAAAATCTTAAAAAAATTAATAATATAATTGAAAACCTAATAAAAAATCTTAAATATTAAAAACAAAATAAATAAAAAAATTAAATTCCAAAATTTTATCAATAAAACCTATTGTTTGCAAAAAGAAAAAATAAAATAAATAAAATTTAAAAACTCAAAAAAAATAAAATGAAAAAAATAATATATAAAAAAATAAGATTTTTTAATTATGTTTTTCCAAAAAAAAATATTAAAATTAAAAAATTTGTCAAAAAAATTTTGGGGGTTTTTGATTTTTTGTTCATATTTGCTTTTTTTAATAAAAAAAACAAATTAATAATTTTTAAAAAAAAATTTATTTTTTATTTGTTAAAAAATAATTAATAAATAAACATTATGTTATTTTATTAAATTTTTTTAATATATAAAAATTTATTTGTTAATAAATTATATATAAAAAATAAAAAAAAAAATTGCAAATATAAAAAAAATAAAACTAATAAATTAAATATATACCTATATAAAAAATAAAAAACATAATAATATAAAAAAATATAAAAAAATAATAAAAATTAAATAAAAATAATAAATAAAAATAAATAAATAAAAATATATACACAAAAAAACAAAAAAAAAATATTAACAAAATATCAATAAATATATAAAATATTAAACTAAAAAAATAAAAAATTAAAAAATCAAAAAAAACAAATAAAAAAACAAAAAAACTTAAAAAAAAAAATTATTAAATTAAAAAAAAATAAATTAAAAAAAACCCAAAATAAAAAAAAAAATAATACATAAAAACAAAAAAAACACTATAATATATATATATAATTTAAAAAAAAAAAAAAAAATTATAAATAAAATAAATATAAATTTGTGTAAAATAAAAAAAAATATAATATATAATATATAAATAATAAATAAAAAATATATAAATATAATAAATTACATAAATAAATATAAAAATAATATAAAAAATTTAATTAGTGTGTGTGTGTGTAAATAACAAAACCAATGCACACAGAGGAATTCTAATCTATACATGCGAACAATTTGACAATCACATTTAGACAGCCCTTTACCCTGTAATAGTGGTGACATCACTGTGCTGTACATGGCCTGTGCAGAGATCAGAGCTATGGGAAGGGCCCAGCAAGTTCAGTCAAGTTGCCTGCAGAAAACTACAGGAGGGGGCGGAAGGGGCGGAGACGAGACCAGTCACCCTGCAGCAACAGTGAGAGGTCTTTATTACATGAAGCCAAAGTTTCACACTGGATTACTGCACAGATCTGAAGAAATACACAAAGAACAGATTCTCATGCCTCATGTATTTAGACAATTTCTCATCCTGGAGTTCAGCATTTTTTTTTGAATCACTCTCCAGCACATGAGAACACACACCTTGACAGGAACAGTGCCTGCAACTTACAAGACTCTAGAAGGCTTTTGTAGACATTTAGAAAGCTTCAAATGCTTTTCTGTAAAGACTTGCAAAACCAGATGTTTTGAACACTTTACAGACCAAAATAAAACCGAAAAAAAAAACTGCCTGTAACAAGAATGACATGGCAAGTTTGCAATCATGCAATACAGACCTGCTCCAAACACAAGTGCAAACAGGGCAAGGACATTGTAAAACCTACAGCATAAAGACTCACGAACAGCGCCGTCACATCAACAAACATTTCTGTTCGGATTCTAAAGGTTACTGAATTTTGTACAACAAATCTTCCTTATTAAAAGGTCAAAGGACTATCTCAGGTTAACCCAGGCATAGGATTGTTTCCTACTAGAGGAGTGCTGCTCCTTACAGACCAATGACCAGACCACATCCAGCTACTGTACACACTCGGGTCGCTTTTCTGCTAGATTGGACAATGAACACATCCACTCAGCATGTGATCTTGATTTGATGGAAAGAATCCAATTTTCAATTTTTTGACACACTGCTAGCACACAAAGTTTGCAGAGGGTTTGATGACCCCGTAATCCGGTGAAGGGCCGCTAAATCAATGGCTTTGCTTCACTGACAAATCAACAGTCTTAAAATGGGGAAAAGTCTTAAAGTCCGTAAAGCTTTTTTTTTTTTTTTTTTTTTAATCAAGTTAAAAACTAGAACAAAAAAAAAAAAAAAAAAAAACACAACAGCATTTTCAAGTCAGGCTGGTAAGTTAACCCCTTGCCTACAGGGCACTTATACCCCCTTTCTTCCAGGCCAATTTCCAGCTTTCAGCGCTGTTGGACTTTGAATGACAATTGTGCTGTCATGCAACACTGTAACCATATGAAATTTTTATCTTTTTTTTTTTTTACAGATAGAGCTTTATTTTGGTGGTATTTAATCACCTCTGGGTTTATTTTTTCTTAAACCAAAAACCACTGAAAATTAAAAAAAAAAAAAAAAAAAAAAAAAGTTCTTAGTTTTTGTTATACATTTTGTAAATAAGTGATTTTTCTCCTTCACTGATGTGCGCTAATAAGGCTGCAGTGATGGGCACTGATAGGCTGCACTGATGGACACTGATAGGCTGCACTGTTGAGCATTGACAGGCATCACTGATGGGCACTGAAAGGCAGCACTTATATATGGCACTGATAGGCGGCACTGAAAGGCAGCTCAGATGGGCACTGATATGTGGCATTGATGTGGCACTGGCAGGTGGCATGGATGAGCACTGAGAGCTGGCACTAATGGACACTGACAGGTGGCGCTGATGGGGCTACACAGATCATCAGGGCACACTGATAATCAGTGCCCTGATGATCTGTGTACATGTCCCCTCCGCAGAATGCCGTTTGCCGGCTCGGCTCTCCTCACGAGCTGCCAGTGTGACAGCTCGAGAGGAGAGAAATGCCGATAACCAGCATTTCCCTATTTACATGAGATCAGCTGTGATTGGACACAGCTGATCACATGACCGAACCAACATCTTCGGCTCTTTTCTTGGATCAGTGATCCGCTGTGTCCTAGGGACACAGCGCACTGCCGATCGCCGCGCGCTCCAGGAGCTGCGCATGCGCGGTTAGAATGGGAGGACGTCATATGACGTCCTATCAGAACGAGAGAACCCCCTTGTGTCCATCATATTACTATATGGCGGTCGGGAGGTGGTTAAATGGCAAGGGATGTAATTTAACATTTCTAATAAATTCAGCTGGGAAGTCTGCTGGATTCTGCTAGACAGAGCTGGGGGGGGGGGGGGGGGGGAAGGGACTGAGCAGGGCTTTTACATCTTTTCCTCAGGTTTCTGCATACAGACCAATGACCTGTCAATTCAAATAGCTGTGAGCGGCGCTAGGTGTGGCAATTCACTTAAGTGCCATCAATGGCTACAGCAGCTGCAAAAGTGAAAATGCTGCAGTATTTTACCTATAGAAAGAAGAGTCATCAACTCAGAGGAAGTGTCTATTGGTTATAATGTCAGGATCAACAGGCATTTAAAAAAAATGTTCAAGGCATTTAACAATACCAAATCTTACTGGTATGGGCTGTGTACATACATATGTGGTTTCAGAGTTTGACAATAGTTCTACTTTAGGCTGCATTCACACTTCAGGGTTTTGTAGCTTGAAGCTCCAAAAAACCTCAAACTTAAAAAAAAACACAATTGTTCTCTATGGTGCCTGTTCACATGATCACACAAACAGGCACCATAGAGAACAATTGAGCGTTTTGTAGCTTGAAGCTCCAAAAAACCTCAAGCTTAAAAAAAATGAAGTGTGAATGCAGCCTTAAAGTGGTTGTAATCCCTCACATATACCCAGTGAAGTGAATGGCCACAGGTGATAGATGTAACAAATCCTCCTACATAAGTTGCACTTGTTTATCTGCAGCTGCTTAAAGTGCAACATGTACACAGCTTGTCAGAGCTTCCATAAAAGCAACGGGCAGGGCACTAAAAGTTAAACTCTGCACAGCTCGGTGAGAGCTGATTGGAGGGAAGGGACACCCCCACCCCTTCACACAGCACAAAACGCTGAGCAAACTGTTGGCGTTACATATATCCTATATAATAAGTATTATTATACAGTATTTATATAGCGCCAATAGTTTTGCTCAGCGCTGTACATTACAATGGGAGACAATACACGAGACAGTACAATAACAATACAATGCGATACACGAGGGGTTCGAGGGCCCTGCTCCTTGGAGCTTACAATCTAGGAAGGAGGGGATAGTGATACGGGAGGAGATAGCTGTGGGGGATGGAGTGGTTGGAAGAGTGGAGGAGGTCGGCAATTAGCAGGGGGTGGGGTAGGCTTCCCTGAAGAGGTGGGTTTTCAGGGTGCGCCTAAAGGTGAGGAGAGTAGGTGATAGTCTGATGGATTGGGGTAGGGAATTCCAGAGGATGGGTGATGCCCTGGAGAAGTCCTGGAGGCGGGCATGGGAGGAGGAAACCAGGGAACTAGAGAGAAGGAGGTCTTGTGAGGAGCGGAGAGTGCGTGTTGGGTGGTATTTGGATATTAGGTCAGTGATGTAGTTTGGGGCAGTATTATGGACAGCTTTGTACATCAGTGTTAGGATTTATATAGTTAGCATATTATAATAATAGTAGTACAGATGATGCTGTCACTCACAGGCTGTGTGCTGGAGCTCCCTTCCCATCATCTTTTTATCACTTGGTGTCAGGAATACTTGTCAGAAGTGCCAATAGCAAAGGAATGAGGCAGTAGGCAGAAATGACACTTAGTGCTCTGGACTGAAATATACTACAGAGGGATAGGCTTTGTTCATATTTCACAACTGATGTTTATAACCACTATAAAGGCTGAGTTCACTTTTTTTTTTTTAATAAAATTGAGTATGCTGTCAAAGGACCCGAGTAGATTACACACCATGCAGCTTTTAAAGTCAACCCTGAAGACTGCTTGAAAAATGTCCACTTCTAGCATTCTTCTGTCCTGCCTAGTAGCTAGGATGTGCCATACACAGAGCTCCAACGAAAAGCGGAAGTTCCGCTTTTAAGCCTTTATCCCCGTTCCCCATTAAGGATTGGCAACTTTGGGGAGCAGGTACCCACTCCCACGTCAGTCGCCTAGGCGAACGGAAGTGGAAGTTGCCTTTCGCCACCCCACTCTCTCCCCGTAGTCTTCTGGGACACGTGACAGGTCCCAGAAGACTTCACAAAGAGCAGTGCTATTCGCAAGCCGTCACAGCCGGGTGCCCACACTGAAGATGTCAGCACTGGGGAGAGAAGACAACCAGTAAAACCAGCTGTGGTGAGGACACCGCTGTACGGAGGGACAGGTAAGTGTCTGTATTTTAAAGCCAGCAGCTACAGTTTTTGTAGCTGCAGACACTTTTTTCAGCTGGAACTCAGCTTTAACCCAGGATAACAGGAGCAGGCCCTCTTCCACGTTCAACACCCACAAACGCTTGCCAGTAATGCTGGGCATGATTTCTCAACATATGAGTGTCTAAGCAACTAGGCAGGACAGGGGAATGCCAATAGGTTTTTCTCCCAGGCTTCAGAGGTGTCACACATGGCCTACAAATGGTTAACATTAAAACCTGAAGTGTGTACGTTAAACCTACTGGGGCCCCTTGACTGCAGAGTTCATTTTATTCAAAAGGTGAACTTTAACTTTAACCACTACATACAGTATATGTGGGGCTTCTAGTAAAAGGGAAAAGGCCAAGTGCAGAAGTCTACAGGAGCCAATCAAAAAGCGTTTTCAGTAAATAAAACCCAGTTGCTTGATCACTGCTGGACAGAACTGGTCTGAATAAGGCTGATGTAATCAATAAAAATTGTACGAGGAGCCCACATTTAAATCAAAGCATCAAACTGGAGAAAACACTTGTAATACTTCCCTGTAAACACCAAACTGACACTGTTGGGATCTAAGCAACTCAAATCCTTATTCTCTACCTTTAGTGCAGTGGTTCTCAACCTTCCTAATGCCGTGACCCTTTAATACAGTTCCTCATGTTGTGGTGACCCCCAACCATAAAATTATTTACCCAGTAATTATAATTCATGAGTGTCGTTTTACCTCCAATACTGCTGCTTTTTTTCAACACAGTAGCTGCTTTCAACACAATAGCTGCTTTTAACACAGAGTAGCTGCTTTTAACACAAGTAGCTGCTTTCAACACAGTAGCTGCTCTTTACACATCGGAAATATGTGTTTTCTGATGGTCTTAGGGGACCCCTGTGAAAGGGTCGTTCGACCCCCAAAGGGGTCGCGACCCACAGGTTGAGAACCGCTGCTTTAGTGTATGTTAAAGTTCTTTTTAACTAGTCTATGACTGCCTACCCCCCCCCCCCCCCCCCCCCCGCCAAGTCCTTGACCTTTCTGTAGGTTACACTGCTGTTAAAGTCATACGGTTAGGCTGCCATGGCTGCTTGTCCATCGAGAACATCAGTTGCTTGGCTGTCATTATTATGCATTCGTTTCAATGCTTCCGACCGGAAAGAACTATAAGAGATAATTCTGACACTTCTGATACTCATTTCCTACATGCCTGTCCTGGTTCTGTGACTCAAAGGATCTAAACCTGACTATCATGCAAAAAGCAAATTCAGAAGTCCATGAATGGAAGCACCACCAGTGACAGGTGCACTTCATCCTATGCAGCCTGTTCCAGGCAGCTCTTAGCTAAACAATGGAACAGCAGCACCTTTGGGAAGTAATCAGCAATCCCCTCCCGTGAGGTTGTTCAACATTTATTTCAGGTACTTATATAGCGCCGTCAATTTACGCAGCACTTTACATATATATTGTACATTCACATCAGTCCCTAACCCTCAAGGGGTGTACAATCTAAGGTCCCCAACGCACATTCATACATACACATACTAGGGCCAATTTAGACAGGAGCCAATTAACCTACCAGCATGTCTTTGGAGTATGGGAGGAAACCGGAGTACCCGGAGCAAACCCACACAGGCACAGGGAGAGAACATGCAAACTCCAGGCAGGTGGTGTCGGGGTTGGGATTCGAACCAACGACCCCAGTACTGCCAGGCGGAAGTGCTAACCATTTAGCCACTGTGCTGCCCAACATTTTAACACAGAAAGCAATCAGGATGACTGACTAGCTCAGAGTGCTGCCCCTCCCTAAATCAGGAGACTACATGAGGAAAAAATTTTTAAAAATTAAAAAAGATTAATTTTTTTACATATCTGCCTGCAGTTCAATACCAAAGCATCTCTATGCATCCAGAGATGTAAAGTCTTCACTGCCTTTGTAAACCGCACAATCTCCATACCTCCAAAAGCACAGTAATAAGGGCACACATGAAAACATCGGAGTGAGTGAAGGCCAAGCAGCCAGAAGCAGCACTTGTGTGAAAATGCAGTTGTATCGACTCCAGTATATTTCTCTCCCTGGCAGAGGAGGGCCCCTTCCGTAGGAGATAATAAATTATCAGAGAATGCAACCCAGAGATGCGAAATTCCATGTTCAACGTGGCACAGTGCGGAGCTCAATACATGTTATGCGTGCCAGAAATCAGGGAGTGCTCGACAGGTGTCAGGAACACGTAATAAGAAAGCCACCCGTGTGCATGCAGGTCGAAGAAGAGGGAGACATGTATCAAAAAAAAAACCGTCAGATAAATGGCAAAATCTCAAGGCAAGCATCATGGCTAAGTTGATTTTTGAACCCTTTTCTTTTTAATTGACGTGTTGCCCAGTTTACATAGTCCTTGCTTCGTAAGCCAGTTATAGACTGGGACAGGGGCCATGTTTTACTTTACTGTTGATATTAAGGTGAGTGGGTGCACTGGGTGCCATTGTGCTATATGCTGGGTGTCCTTTGCACTCCAGTACCTTTAAGAGGGGTGGGCTCCCTGACGTGCACCTGCCCCTGGTCTATCCTTTAAATGCATGTGCCTCTACTATGGGGGCTCTCACATTTGTAGAGTTAGGAACACAGATACTCAGGGTGCCGTGATGCGGCTCTGTGGCTTACGTATGTATTTGCAAATGTGTGCCAACTGAACCCGTTTTTAACGCATACTGTTAGACAGGTTAA